CTCGTGAAGGCCTCTCCCATTCTCTAAATGTATTCCTTCCCTCCTTCCCTTTGCCAATTGACATACTTTTCATTCAAGGCTAAATGTAGGTGCCTTTCTTTCCACAAAGCCTTTGCTATTTCCTCCAGCTGAAAGTAATCTCCTCTTCCTCAAATTTCTTATACTGATATTTTATTCTGATCTCTCCTCTGAAATGGTGAAGCCAGGCTAACTGGGTCCACCACAAATTTATGTTACATAATCTCAACTTGATTCTTGCTGAAGCAAGGCAATCCTTTGATACTTTCCCCACTGATTGTCTATGCCACTCACCACAAAAGCTTTTCCAAATCTTTTCATTCTTCCTCAAGTCTACCATGGCACCTGTTCCCCTACCCTCTCAGCTGAGAAATTTGCCTTGTATTTTTTTTTTTTTTTGGTGAGGCAATTAGGGTTAAGTGACTTGCCCAGAGTCACACAGGTAGTGTTATGTGTCTGAGCCTGGATTTGAGCTCAGGTCCCCCCCCGACTCTATCCAGACAGAGCAGTGCTCTATCCACTGCACCACCTAGCTGCCCCTCTGAAGGAAAAAAAAATTCCAGAAATATTTATAAACAATGAGACAAGAGCTGTATTTTGTATTTTGCTGAAAAAACTGAGGTCATTTTCCAGGAGCTCCTTCTTCTCTCCTTGTCTCACATCATTTGGGTGCCATGTCCCACCATTTCTTCCTTCACCCATGTCTCACATGAAAAGGTGGTCCTACCTGCCCAGACTAGCCCCTCTATATGTAGTCTTAATCCCATTCCATTCCATCTTCTTCAGCAGATTGCCCCCTCTATCTTTCCTACTCTCTCTTCCTTACGAGATTCTTCCCTGCTACCTATAAATTTGTCCATTTCTCCCCCTCCATCTCACTAGCTATCTCTCCTGCCTTTAGTGGCTAAGCTTCTTGAGAAAACTATCTAGAATCAATGCCTCCACTTCCTCTCCTTTCCTCTCTTCTAAACTCCCTGCATTCTGGATTCTGACTTCCAACATTCAATTGAAACCACTCTCTCCAAAGTTATCAATGATGTCTATAAATGCCAAATCTAATGTTTTTTTTTTCTCAGTCCTCATTCTAGGTGGCACAATGGATAGGGTGCTGGGCCTAGAGTCAGGAAAACTCATATTCCAGAGTTCAAATCTGGCCTCAGACAATTACTAGCTGTTTGACCCTGGGCAAGTCACTTAACCCTGTTTGCCTCAGTTTCTTCATCTGTAAAATGAGCTGGAGAACAAAAACCTGAAAATACTCTAGAGATATTACCCTCCTTCAGACAGAAGGGATGGACACAAGTTGGAAAAAGCATACATTTTCAGATGTGGCCATTTTGTGGATTTAATTGTTACAACTCTCCACCCTATTCCACTCCCCACACTACTCCACCTTTTTGTGTTCTTAATTGGGAGGAAGAAAGGGAGGTTAATGAAAGGTGGAGTTAGTAACGTAATAATAATGTGATAATAGTAAAAATGATGTCTTAAAGGGCCATTGTAATATTTTGTGTAAATTCACACAAGGGAAGCTCAACTACTAACAAAACAAGCAGAACTACTTTGAAATGAAAATACAGAATTATATACTTAGAGCAAGTGCAAGTGGTATTAAGTGGTTTCATATACAATTCTGTTATTTTTGCATGTTTTAAATTATGTATGGAAATTTCTCTTTATGGTATTGAAACAGTAATAAAAACAGTTATAATTCAAAAACAAATGAGCCAGAGAAGGAATTGGCAAACCATGCCACCCCAGACGGGTCTTGAAGTCAGACACGACTGAAAAATGACTGACATTCTTCTTGACCTCTCTATAGTCTTTGACACTGTCAATCTCCGTCTTTTTTTATCCTTCCTAGGTTTATATGTTGCTGCTTTCTCCTGATTCTCCTCCTTCTCAATCTCCTTTGCTGGATCTTTGCTGACCAGGAGCGTTCATCGAGGGTCTGTCCTGAGCCCTCTTCTCTTCCCATTCTCTACACTATTTCACATATGGTGATCTTGGCTTCCATGGTATTGCTGTGTCAAAGGGCACACAGAGTTTTAGTAAATTGTATAAAGGGTATAGATTTAGTGAATATTTTACACAGAAGTTCTACACAATGAAATCACTATTAGTTATATCAGTGAAAATCACACTAGAATGAATGAGAATTAGACGTAAGCTCCTTAAATTCAGGGAATATGTAGGGTTTTTCATCCTTATATTCCCAATGCCAAGCATAGCAGCTTGTACATATAGTGCACTTAATGAAGAATCATTTAACTGAATTGATAGATACCTGTTAACAACAAATACAAAGGAAGAAGCTTATGACATGGCATCAGACATTGGTATCAGTCTCGTAGTGGGTATCTCAGGTGCTGCTTTCCTACTTCCCTTTTTTCTCTCCCCTTAATAAATACTTCACACATACAAGGCGTTTTCCCCCAAAGTCCTTTCATACACTCATATACACTCATAGAGAAATCATAGAACGTTAGAGCTGAAAGGGACCTGATAAATACAAGGCGCTTGATAAATGTTGATTGACTGATTGATCGATCGATCTTGGAGGTAAGGAAACTGAGTCCTAGTTTAATTGGTTTGCCCAAGGTCACCCAGGTGGTATGTAAATGGCAAAGCCTGGGCCTCATTTTACAGAAGGTAAACTGAGGTCTAGAGACGGAGAATGACTTGTCCAAAGTTAAACAGTGAGCTAGTGATAAAGCTGATATTAGGACCTAGATCTTCTTGCTTCCTGTGCAAGGTTTCTTCCACCCCACCCCAATGCTCCTCCCAGATAGCAGGCAGATGGGAATCATATGATCTAAAACTGGAAAGGACCTTAGAAATCACCTCGTCACAGAATCATAGAATTTGAGAGTTGGATGGGATCTCAGTGGCCATCTAAACCATCCCATCTGAAAAGGGGATATCCAGTAGTCCAACCCCTTATTTTACAGATTAGTAAACTAAAGCCCACAAGACAAAATCTCTTATCCTTAAGAGCCACCTCTATTAATCCATCCTCTTCATGATTCTATGGACGTCAGTACTCTACCTTCTCAGCCTGCATATATCCAGATCAATGAGCTCTCATCTGCGGAAACTAGGTGGCAGAGTAGATAGAGCAATGGACTTGGTGTCAGGAAGACCTGAGTTCAAACCCTGCTAGCTATGTGAACCTGAGCAAGTCACTTAGCCTCAGTTTCCTCATCTGTAAAATGGGAGTAATAACAGTATTTCCCTTGCAGAGTTGTTGTACAGATGAAATTAGATAATATATGTAAGTCACTTAGCAAACTTTTAAGTACACTGCAAATGTTAGTAATCATTATCGCCATAATTGACTTATTTTTATTGTATATGTGTGTGTGTGCGTGCACACGCGCGCGCACGTGCATGCCTGTTAATAATAACCATAGTCCCAGCAGTGGTATCGTTGGGTTGAAGAGTACGAGCAGTGTGACTGCTATAGCCCCTCTCACAATTTTGGTGCCACTGATGTATGAATTCCTGCCTACAGAACTAAAGCTGAGTGGTAGAACAAGCTCTTGAGTGCAACTGGATCCTGGATCCATTTGTTACTTACTGCACAGTGAATCTACCATTTGGAGAGATTCCTTTATAAACAGAAAAAAAAACCCACGGGTAATGTAAGATAATCACTTTTGCTTGCATGTTGGATAATTTATACAGTAACAGCAACATGGTAAAGATCATCAACTTTGAAAGACTTAGTAATGCTGACCAATACAACAACTACCATTCCAAAAGACTCATACTGAAACATGTTATTGATGGATTCAGAATGCAGATTAAAGAACATTTTCTTCTCCTTTCTTTTTTTTCCCTTTTTTTGTTTATTGGACATGGCTTATTCAGGGATTTGTTTTGCATGATACACATCTTGGTAATGGGTTTCATTTTTCTTGCCTTCTCAATGGATGGGGAAAGAAAAGGAAAGGAAAAGACAATTCACAACTTAAAATAAAACTGATTTTAAAGAAAAGGAATTGGCCAGAGTTTCTACAAGAGGAAAAAGTTCCATTCTCAGCAGCCTCTCTCATCAAGGCTAGTGTCTGTAGGCTGCTGACTTGATTTCCTCAAGATCACCCCAGTTACTAGGTCCCTTTTCTAAGAGATAACTGGATCCTTTCCTAGAATCGGGACAGTGATTGGAATGCTGTATGGGAGACACTGAGAAAGCAGGAAAGGGTTAGGCTCTAGTCTACCCGACTTCACGCACAGGAGTCTTTTCCTGTATCTCAGGTCAGCAGCCATTTCAACAACCTATGAATGGAACACCAAGGTCCCACGTCCAAATATAACAGAGAAAGATTATATCCTTAGGATCTCAAGTTGCTAGAAGTTTAAAAAAAAAAAAAGGAGCTAGTGACCTTACCTCCCCATTCTCCCTTTCCTCTCCAAGGTTTTTAAGAATAGCCTATGCTATGCCCCAAGAAGACTTTACAAAAGCTCTTGTACCACAGAGAGATACTAGCAAAAGAGTTTCTGTGTTAGTTTCTGTGTCTGGATATGCCACTACTTCTGGCTTAGCATAATGTAAAGCCAACAGAAGTTGGATGATAATGGAGCTTTCATCTCCTAAGGAGAGTGGTCCACAGGGGGCTGGCCAAATGTTCTTGGGGGGAAGGGGTCAACCTGTTTCAGAAGTCTCAGATTATTTCCAACCAGCATCTCAGATGGTCCATGTACTGCATGTATCATAGTCACATATACAGCCAGTCATTATTTATTAAACACCTACTATATGCCAGGCAGTGTTCTAAGTGCTAGCGATATAAAGAAAAAAGAGTTACTTCTCCCAAGGATGTCACAGTCCAATGGAGGAGACAATATACAAACAAGATATAGTCAATACTCAACATTCTTATTTCTCACCTTTACTAGTTCAAGCATCTGAGCGATTTTATTAATTACCTCATTTTCATTTCTACATTTGCAGCTATGCCCACAGTAGAGAAGAAAATGAGAGGTGCGATGTGCACAAGTTTGTAGAGCAGCTGGTATCCTACTAGGCATAATCAACCAGCTGGCTAGAGACATGGAGACTGCAGATCCCATTATCAATCACAGCCTCAAGGTTAAACATCAACTAGCCTCTGCTGTAGTCCCACAGTCTGTGACCCTGAAAGATCTCAAACAACACACAGAGCAGACATTGCTGATGGATTATTTCAAGCTGGTGCACAATCTCCAATGCCATCCACCAGCCATGAAGGACAGAGTGCCAAAGGTGATGGAGAGACTTCACCAGTCTCAGCATCTTCCAACACCAGCGACTAAAGTCCCAGAAACCTCTCCCTTGGTTTGCAGAGGGCAGCCAAGGTGGAGAGGTTTACAGCAGTGTAGTTTACAGTACAATGCCCTCATCTGACACAGTGGAAGGTAAGATTCAGGTTAAAAAATGCCTTAGTTTTAAATTTTTTATTTGGGTACAGTATTTCTGGTATTATAGACTTCATGCATTATAAAAAATGAATATTGTCTGAAATCAAGGTGCTTGGTTTTGTTTTTTTTTTTTTGAGATATTAGCACACAAGGTCAAAGAATTGCAGGGAATTATTAGTGAGGAAAAATGTTTTGCATGTTACCAGTTTTATTTTTTGTATAGCATTTTATGGGAGGAAGAGGAATATTCCATGAGGCTGGAAAGGTAGTTCCAATTGATCTACCATCTCACCAATGTGAATATTCCTTCTAGTGGCACAGGTCCATGCCTTCTCATCATGTGTGATCCTCATCTTTTTTTTCCCCATTATTTCTCCATTGGGAGTCTCCCCAGTGTACATGGGGCCTTCCTGCAAATTTCAGAACCTTACGTGAGCACTAGCACAGTAAGCAGGTTATCTGCAACCCCTCACTCTCACTACATGACCAACCCACCTCCTTTTCCAATCAAACGCTGATGATTTTTGTTATTTGTTTTGAGTGCATAATTCATTATTAACAATATCATCCTGTAAGAAAATGTGAAAATGTTCTAATCCATTCTCCTTGCCTTTACATATGGGGAGACTGAGTCTCACAAAGAGCACATGACTTTTTCCTATCCATACAATGTGTCAGCTGAAACTGAAACCTGGTTCTCCTGACTCATAATTTTAGAGTTGAAAGGAATCTCAGCAGCCATCCCTCAAAAGGAATCTCCACTTCAACATACATATTTGACAGGTGATGCTCTAGTGCAGGCCTGATTCAGGCCAGTCTGGTAGTTCAGGTTTGAGAGTGAAACAAAATATGGGGCAGGTAGGTGGCGCAGCGGATAGAGCACCGGCCCTGAAATCAGGAGGGCTGGAGTTCAAATCCAGTCTCTGACCAGACACTTGACACTGACTAGCTAGCTGTGTGACCCTGGGCAAGTCACTTAACCTCAATTGACTAAAAAAATAAATAAAAAATAAGACTAACAGAACACTTGCTAACAAAAGCATATAAACAATACTCAATGACAATATATCATGTAGTTAAGGAAGATGTGATCACCTCTTCTCTGTTCAGAAACATGTCTGGCCAGAAAGTGTCTAATTCCCCTTCCATGTGACAGACCTTCACACAGCTATCACTCTCCCCTTGAATTTTCTCTTCTCTAGGCATCTGATTTAGTATAAAGGACCTTCTTGGGGGAAAGGTAGAGGGAGGTAGACTAGATAATAATACAATTAGCTGGATTTAGAACTGAATTTTTGTTGCTGTTCAGTCATTTCAATTATGTCCAACTCTGTGAGAGTTGTGTCCTTTGTGACCCCATTTGGAGTTTTCTTGGCAAAGACACTGGAGTGGTTGGCCATTTCCTTCTCCAGCTCATTTTACAATGAGGGAACAGAGGCAAACAGGGTGAAGTGACTTGCCCAGGGTCACACAGCTAGTAAGTTTCTGAAGCTAGATTTTAACTCGAGGAGTCTTCCTGCCTTCAGGCCCTGCACTCTATCCACTACAGTACCCAGCTGCACCGATTAATTGGATGTACTCAAAAGAGTAGTCACAGGGCCATAGACTTAGAACTGGAAAGAACATTAGAGTCCACTTCACCCGTCCTCTTTATTTTACCTCAGGTCCAGATGAGGGAAATGACTTACTCAATGTCATAGAGGCAGCAAGCAGCAGAGCCAGGATTTGAACTCACGCTTTTGACTCAAAATCCAACACTTTCCCCTGCACCATGTTGCCTTTCCTCACTGGTGATTCGTTAAATATCAACTTGGCAGGTCTATAGTAAATGTCCAAAGGATTTTTGCTTGGTCCTGAACTATTTAACATTTTTACCAATTACTTAGGTAAGTCTTACCAAATCTGCAGATGACACAAAGCTGGGAAGTTTAATTATAACACCAGATGACTGTCAGGATCCAGAATGTTCTTGACAGGTTAGAACACTGGATTTTTTGATAAGATGAAATACAATAAAAATAAGTGTAAAGTCTTAAACTTGGGTTCTCAAAATCAACTTTACATGTATTGGATGGAGCAATCATAATTAGACAGTAGTTTGTAAAAAAAGGTCTGGGGTAGACTTTGGACTCAATCTTTAAGTTAGGAGTGTGGTGCGGCAGCCACAAAAGCTAATGTCATCTTAATATAGGCAAAGCTTTCAGGAATAGTCACCTCTTTGGTGCCACTGGACTCTGCTCTAGTCAGACCACACCTGGAGAACCATGTTCAGTTCTCCAAGTGCTACAAGTTTAACAGGCATGTTGGTCAACTGGAGAGCATCCAGAGGGGTGCAAATGGTGAAGGGCCTTGGTTAAGTCCATGTCATACGAGGATCATTTGGTGCTGTTTAACTTGGAAAAAGACTCAGGGAGGACATGATAGCTATCTTCCAGTTTTTAAAGGACTGTCATGTGGAGAAGGGATTAGATTTGTTCTGTTGCGACCCGGAGGGCAGAACCAGGAGCAATGAGTGGGAATTGTAAAGAGGCACATTTGTTAGGACTCATGGTCAGGAGAAATGTCCTAACGACTTGAGCTATCCAAAAGAAAAATGGGCTGCCTTGAGAAGTGCTGGTTTCTCCCTCGTTAAGCAGAGACTACATGATTACTTGTCAAGTATATTATAGTTAGAGATTTCTTTCACATATGGATAGGCAAGATGATCCCTTTCAACTCTAAAATTCTGTGATTCTATGAAATGCTTTGCTGAAATCTAGGAAAATTATAACTACAACACTCCCTTGACCTACTAGTTACTAATTTAGTAACCACATAAAAAAAGAAAATAAGGTTAGTCTGGAATGACCTGTTCCTGATAAAGCCATGGAGCTCTTTGTAATAATCACTGCTTCCTTTTCTAACTAGCCATCTCTTTAATGATCCTTTTTCAAATTTTCCTAGGAATTGAAGTCAACTTCACAGGACCATAGTTTTCCGACTCAGTTCTCTCAGCTCTTCCCCAATCTTGTACCCCTTCATTCAGCGGCTCGGTAATCACATCTGCCAGTTCTTTCAGACTGAGGTGAGGGTATACCAGATATCTGGGCCAGGAGACTTGAATTCATCAAGGGCAATCAAGTACTCTTCCCATCTCCAAACCTGGTGTTCTTTCTACTGGTCTAGACCACAAAATCTAAGTTGTTTGAACCTGTTCTGTTGTGGCATACAATCACCTATGTTGTATCGCACTGTTTCATGTCTTGCTTTGAGATTCCTTTGTAAGCCATAAAGTACTAAGTAAATGTGTTATTATTCTCTCCTCAACCAAACTCTTAAGTTCCTTGAGATGAGGAGCCACAGCTTATGCTGGTAACACCCAAAGTCCTTAATAACTATTTATTGAATTTAAAAATGTGTTTCAAATACAATGCAACCGAGGAAGTGGGGAGACCTGTTCATTCAGGGTGCAAACTGAAATCCGAGACCCTAACCAAACCAGAATGTTCCTTATAAGACTTAGCAGGGTACAGAGAAGGGGCCTTGAGTTTCAGGCAGGCTGTTTTCTGACTTCTTGTTTACCTTGACCAAAATAGAAGCTGGCCTGCTGTGACATAGCCAATGCTCAATTACGTGTTCTCTAAATAGCTTCACACATCTGCCAGCTGCTTGGGCCCCCTGAGCAGTGGGATGAAGAAGAATTGCAACTTTCCAATCAGTATCAAGGTTGTGCAACCTGCTTCTCTGTGGTCACAAAAGCGAAGCTACAGGTGTAGGGAGATCCAGGAGTAAGGAAATTTTTACCTACTTCCACCAACCAGGCAGTATAACCAGATCTTCCATCTGTGTCCTCCCACAGAGCTGTCTACATCACTTATTTAGCTCTTGGGTTATCATTTCTCTTTCCATGTAGGTGTCCTATTTCCCCCAGCAAAAAGGTGAGTCCATCAGCACCTACTCCTTCCCTCCCTGTACCTCTCCCTAGTAGTTGTGGACAAAGCATATGGTACTCGGTAAATAATGGACACGGTGAAAACCAAAAGACACAGACGCAGAGCCATCTAGAGTGGCACACATACACTTACAGCCTGGGCCAATGTTATCAATGAGGTGGAAAGTCTACTGCCCTCCAGGCACTAATTATTTTCTCCTAAACCAAGTTTAGTTGGAAATTCAGACCCAGAAGCAGGCATTGAGCGTATTCTTTTGCCAACACCTTCCATATCAGTAGGGGAAGAACACAGCCTTTGCACTCTTTCCTTCAGGACTCAACAGGACAAGCTGTGGGAATAATCAACAACCTCACTTTGAGGCTGGAAGGGGAATAGGAAATTAGGGTCACTTGACTTCATCTTGAGATTGTAACTTAAGATTCCAAAGAAGAATCCCATCTTCAGCCCTTCACAACCCTTACTTAGGGATAGTCACAGGCTTCCTGTAGGTATTTAAGGGGATCAGACAGTCTTGTGTATGGGCTAGTAGCACTGGAATGTAATAACAATCAAGTGAGGGGCAACAGGGTGAAAGCTGATTCAGACCACATTCCCCAAATATTGCTTTTCTAGATGTTAAGTAGGGATTACAGCTTACATTCAATTCAGTGGAACAAAATGCCACCTTAAATGCTCCCACACATATTTTTTAAATCACATAAGATCCCTTGAAAGAATCATAGAATCCACACACTTTCAGAGTTGGGAAGGATTTCATTGGTCATTAGTCCAACATGGGTTGAACCTGAATCAAAATTACCTCTACCCAATGAATGAACAAAGAAAATGTTTGACGCCACTCTGATTATTAATGTTAATAATAAAGCAATGCATAAAATAGGGAAGTTCAAACAAAGTCTTAATTGAAAAAGGAGATTCCTTACGGATAGTGAGGTACTTCAGATACTCCTATATGGGGATGACACTGTTACATTAGAGCTTCCTAAATGGGATCCATGATCAATCAAAAGGGTTTTTCTTGTCTGTGGGAAAAACCAAGTAAATGAAGATTGCCTGTTATCTAGATAATGATTCACAATTGTATGGATAACCTGTAGAATTGGCCCATCTGTACTAGGACTCACACTGCAAACAGACAAGGAGCTAGGTCCAGAAATAAATAGGAAGCACAGGAGGAGAAAGATTGTATTTGGAAAATTATACAGTGTAGGTCATTAAAGGACCCCAAACTTCTTAAAGAAACAAAAGCCCATCTTTTTAACATCAATATTGTTCTGGTTATGTCATGAAATACCACAGTCCTGGAAAAACAGAGAAATGCATGATGGACATAATAGGACAGAGTACACTGACAATAATGAATTATATACCAGGAAGCAGGAAAAAAGTTATCTATCATCAAAGAAATGTATGACCTTAAGAGGGGTAGGTAGCCCAGTCATGCCCTGTGAGCAATGGATAACAGGACAGCCTACATGCTCCATTTGTATCCAAGCAATGCCAAGAGATCTAAAAGGAGGTCCCCTAACACAGTGGGTAGGCCCACTGTGGAGGATTCATGGGAAGACATGTACAAGAATTGAAGAGCACGAGGTAGATGGGCTGCCATCTGCAATGCCAACTACAGGTCCATATAACTAAATCACAGATTCATGGAAGTCTTGAAGTAAACTTACGTTTATGTAACATTTTGTTGTTGTTGTTTTTAAATAAGCCACATTTATATACTGCTTTACAGGTGATAAACCACTTTCCTCAAAAATCCTAGGAGGCCATGGATGGTGTACACATAATGGATAATATATTTGTGAGCAGTCTCGCAAATCTGATCAAAGGGAATCACAGGACCACAGGTTTTAGAACAATTGAAAGAGATCAAAAAAGGCCATTTAGTCCATGCTCATTTTAAAAATTAGTTAACTAAGGTATAGAAATTAAGTGACTTGCCAGGGCCACACAGATAGTGTCTAAGGCAGAATTCTAACCCAGGTTAATTTGCCTCCAAGTCCAGAACTCTCTCCTCTATGCTACCCAACTTCTAACTGAAGGAAGGAATTTAAACGCAAAAGGGAACAGGAGGGCCAAAGCTGCTCATGTGTCAAGCGGGATCACTTAGAGATTAACGGTGGACACACATACTAACATACAGTACTCCAAATCCAAGAAAAGAACCAGCAATGAAATCTTTATCCTCAGACACATATGACAAATGTACAAAATATGGGTAGTAAGCAAAGTAAACTAGAGATCCTGATCAAGGAGGCAAATATAATCCCATGATTATAACTAAGACTTCATATGATCTGGGACTCAGAATCTGAGCTCTGTATCTCTGAAAGGGTATACCTTTTTAAAAGTGAACAGAATAGGTAAGAGGCCATGGCAGAGGAGCACTATATATTAAAAAGATATAAAGAAAAAAGATATAAAGGTGGAGCCAACGTGGAGGAGTAGCAGGAAGAAGTACAGTACCCAGATCCTTTCAAAAGATCACAGGGGTTCCCAAAGTGGGTGATACTGCTCCCTGGGGGGTGCCGGAATAATCCAGGTGGGAATAGTAGCCTCAGGTGCAAGTGGGGAGTCACTGAATAAAAATAAGGGGGTGGTGGAAGCATAAGGAAAGAGAATTTTGAAAAACCATTAATACATTTGTATAACAGAGTTAAAGTTGTAGTGATTACATTATTTTCCAAATACATACAAAATGCAAGTTATAACCAATCAGTGGTCAAGTCCGTCAACAGGTCTTAAAAAGCAAGTGTTACACTTGCTAGCTGTGTGACCCTGGGCAAGTTACTTAACCCCAGTTGCCTTAAAAAAAAAAAAGCAAGTATTGGCAGGCAAGCATGTCAGGAAGTCCAGCATACACTGGAAGGAATATGTGCATATAATGACTTGTTTACAATACGATACCACACAGTTACATGACACAATATTGCATCATCAAAATTTCAATGTAGGAAAAAACCCATAAATTTAAATAAATTATTAAATTTAAGATGTGTCATTTTTAAAAAAAAAATTGTAGATTTTTTTTGAAATGACAAATTTTTTTAAAGCCGCAAAAGGGTTAAAGAAAAATTTCCAGTGGGGTGCTGAGTAATTATTTTGAAAAGGGGGCAGTAGGCCAAATAAGTTTGGGAACCTCCGATCTAGAATGTGCACCAGACCAAACCCTGATCATGCAATCCAAGGAAAAAAAAAATCAAAGTGAGTCATTTTTCCAGACCAGTTTGGCATAAGACCGACATACAGGTCTATAGACACTGGTTACTGGGTCTGGCTAGGAATGCCCCAAATAGAGCATTTCAGGGCAGGAAGAATATATATCAGGGTAAGAAGAGGGCCTACATTCTAATTTACACTCTGATAAGAGGAGATGATACATGTTTCATAAGAATCCTGTTATTATCAGAAGTTATGGAAGAAGTCTAATAAGACAGAAGGCCTGGAAGTGATTTTGTTGTGTTTTGATGATCATAAAAGAAAAAAGGAAAGGGAAGAGGAAAGACAAACTAGGGGGGAAATGGGAGAGAAAAGGTGGAGGGAAAACTATCTCATATAATTGGTAAGCCCAAATATAAAACTTATACAAATCAGGGGGAAAGGATTATTGGGGGAACCATTAGCATTTGAATCTTATGTTCATCTGAACCAGTCAAAGGAAGTATGCAGAAAAAAATTTCACACAACAGGTAAAAAAGGAAGAAAAAGCAAGAAAGGAGAGGGGGGATAAGAAGAAAGGTAGTTTAAGGAAAGAATGAGTTCTAAGCAAAACAAACTCTAAGGATGTACAAAAATATAGTGACTTTTTGTGGTGGCAAAGAACTGGAAATTGAGGGGGTGTCCATTAATTGGGGAATGTATAGTATATAAATGTGATGAAATGCTATTAGAGAAAGGCGACATATGGGAAGAAGAGATACATTTTTGCTGACTAGAAACAAAATCTAATTTTAAAAAGATATACTCACATGAAGAAATTTTGGGACCTGAGAAAGGAAAAATGGTGGAGACTTGCATAAAGATGAACAGAGGGAGAAACAGAAACAATCTTTTCACATATGTATACTATAGACCACCTAGACCAGAGGAGAAAATAGATGAATTTGAGAAGCAGATTATAAGCCTAGCAAGAAGGCATGCTATATTACTGATGGAAAACTTCAATTTCCTGAACATCTGGAGCGCTCTATTTGACAAAAGCAGAGTAGCTTGTCTTAATCCTTCAAAACATGGAGCAGAAGGAAAACTGCTATTCTGTTCCCGATTCTGACCAAGAAGGGAAGAACTACTTATTGATGTAGAAATAATGGTAATCTTGTGGGAAAGGGACTGCTTCACCTTAGAATTCATGATAAAGAAGAAGAAAGTTGGACTTTCTATGGTATGCATCACAGATTTGAGAAAATATTCCAAAAAATTCTGGAAAAAGGATATGACTCCATGGCCTAGAATTCTGCAAGGGAAGTCAGCCCAAAAAGGATGGAAAGCTCTCAAGAATGAAATTATGAAGATGCAAACAGATGCCATCCCATTAAAACTATTTGTGATGACAGAAAGCTGAAAACAAACCATGTGCCCAAAGACTCAAGTATGATTGAACAAATTGTGTATATGAATGAAATTGAACATCACTACATTGTAAGTGGGCAGCTAGGTGGCACAGTGGACAGAGTGCCAGGGCTGAAGTCAAGAAGACTCATCTTCCTGAGTTCAAATCTGGCCTCACACATGTCCTAGCTGTGTGACCCTGGGCAAGTCACTTAACCCTGTTTACCTTAATTCGCCTATAAAATGAGCTGGAGAAGGAAATGACAAACCACTCCAAGATCTTTGCCAAGAAAACCCCAAATAGGAACACAAAGAATCAGACACAATTGAAATGAATAAAAGACAACAAAAACACTCTAAGTAAAGACAAACCTGAAGAATTCAGATAAACATGACTAACTTGTAGGCAGCAATGCAAGGTGAAGAAAGATTCAAATGACTAAAACAATGTAAATACAAACAACCCAAAAAGGCAACAAAACTCAGGTCAAAGACAGAAGACAATGTTGGTACCATACTCCTTAAAACGGCTACATCAAACATTTTTATCAGCACCTTAGATGAAGCCGTAGATGGGATGTCTACCAACTTTGTAGTTCAATTTAAAGCACACATCCTTTCTGTTAACAACTTGCAAATTCAAAAGTGAAAAGTGATACATACTACAAGATCATGCAGTTTTTAATTACCTGTTTCGGAAGAATGCACCTTTTGAGATCCTCTCTGGATGCTGGTTAGAAAGTTCAGATGTGTCAAAACAAAATATATCTCAAAAAACTACTTTTTTTAAACAGTGCTATAGCTCAAAATGAGCAGAGGTTGGTAATTAATGCTTAAATACAACAAAAAAAGTGGACATTTTAAGCTATGCTGAGGGAAAAGGAGGATCAAAGAAGAAAATTTAAAAATTGAAAGGACAAGCTAAAACAATGAATCTAGTAAGAAGAAATCTAATAAAGTTAAATGTAAAGTCATACAATGAGGTTCAAAAAACAAAAAGAAAAAATCTCCAACTTCAACTACATCAGTACAACATGGGAGAGAGGCAGAGCTAGATAACAGTGTGTCCAAAGTTCTAGGCATTTTAATGGATTACAAAAGCTTTTTTAGTCAACATTTAGTCAATGTTCAAGGACACATATCTGATGCGTAATAATGCTTGCTGAACTGAATAGAGGACTACAGCAGTCAAAGAAATTAATTCAACCTTAGGTTTCATTAAAAGGCACCATATCTAGAAAACTGGTAGGCAGGGTAAGGAAATTCTGCTACTGCTCTTTGTCCCAGTCAGACTCCATCCAGAATACTGTATACAATTCTAAGAGTCAAATTTTAGAATGAACTTGATCAACCACAAAGCCTTCAATGACCAGACCAGCAAGGAGTTTTGAAACCATTCCACACAAGAATCAGTTGAGAGAAATGTGGATGTTTAGCCAATAAGAGAAGACTTATTGGAGACATGATAGATGTCAAGTATTTCAAGGACTATACTATAATAAAGGCATTTGACTTGCTCTGTTTGACCCCAAAAAGAAGAATGAGTAGGATTAAGCAAAAATTACAGATTTCATTTCCATGTAAGAAAAAATCTCTAGCAATTGCAGCTGTCTTAAAATGTTATGAACTGCCTTGGGTAGTAGTGGATTTCCCATTCCTCTGGGTCTTTTTTTTTTTTTTGGCTGGGCAATGGGGTTAAGTGACTTGCCCAGGGTCACACAGCTAGTAAGTGTTATGTGTCTGAGGCTGGATTTGAACTCAGGTCCTCCTGAAGCCAGGGCCAGTGCTCCATCCACTGCATCCTCTGGGTCTTTTCACGAAAGCTGGGCATGTTGTTGGGCATGTTGTAGAGGGGCTTCTTGGTCAGGAATAGATTAGACAAGGTGAAATTCGGGGGTCCCTTCCAATTCTTAGATTCTATAATTCTATGACAACCTCGATAACTAAGTATTTTTACAAACATTATCTCATTTGGTCTTTTAATTTAAAATATCATAAAAAAGCAGTGTCTTAAGCCCAGATGCACCCTTGATGAAGTCAAAAAGTTAACCTTTAATATAACTTAGGAAAACAGCCATTCTTTTTTAAATGGAGCAATTGTTAACAGGATCTATGCCAACACATAACAAACACACTTATCACTGACCTTAACTAACCACTATTTTGAAGTGTGTAAACCTGGATTTCAGACTTATGGAAGAGTTATTTACTTATTTTTTCACTTAATTATTTCTCCATTTTGCAAAACTAACCTCCTGGAATAAGATAAAAGTTAGTGAACTATGGATAGCCCTAAAAGCTGTGCTGTTTCTGCCTTTCAACTGATACACTATTTCTTTTACAAGAAAAGAGAAAAGAAGGGCTCCTTTCCCACCCCTAAATACTGTTCCCATGATGTCAGATTGGCAAATGTTTCATAAAAAGGAATTTAATAGAAGGGATATGACAGAAGATTTATCCTTTTAATCAAAATTTTAAAGTTATCAGTAGAAGCACCTTTCATACAATTAAGAAGAAAAAACATCTCTACTTCTTAACAAACTACTAGGTTGTTTATAGTTCCATGTTATTATAATACAGAGAATTTAGTTAACAGGGCTGTCAATAGGAGGAACAGAAAGGATTAATAAAACAGCTTATAATCACTTTATTAAGTCCCTAACAACAGACAATGCTCTGAATTAAATTCCAAGGTAAGGCATTTCATTTATTCACTATATAATATCCAAAGTACTCCCATTTTTCCACAGGGCTGTAATATTTGTATTACTTTTAGTTTAAATTTGAGTGACACAATTATCTAGTTGGGAATTAGTCAGATAAAATGTTTTAAATAAGCCTATTTCTGGATCTTATTATTTCAGTGTGCCCACTACCTGGACATTACGCTTAAAACAACAAATCAAAAACCCTAATTTCCACTCAATAATTATTTTTAGAACAAGCTAAAAACCTGAAAACTTTTAAATTTAGGGAACTAATAGAATTAATACTGCCTGACTACCCTAGTTTCATCTATTTTCACCAATCTCCAGTAAAAGTGTCAATTACAAAAAATCAACACAAAAGATCCATCATTGCATCACCTTGAGTGTTAGTGGTAAGATTTAAGTTAAAGAGATGTGGGCAGATATATAAGGCTGGCATTAACTACCTGCTTTGTCTTCATTTTCTATTTCTCTTGAATTCTGACTTAAGGAATGTACATCAATATATCATTAGTTTGGTTATTCTGAATGAATGGTTCAGTTAGCAAAGCAGGAAAATCAGTCAATGCTTGTTTTGCATGACAGAGACAAAACCAACTGGTTGTCTTACTTTTCCAACTTCCATTTAACACTGAATGGATTCAGCCATGGTATGCTTTTAGTTTTTTAAAGTAGGCTGGGAATCTGTGTTTGGGCAAGTGTCACAAGGCACCAGATTCAAAGACCAAATCAATGAGATATTAGCTGGGAAAAGATATTCCTCCATATTTCTGATTCCAAAGTCCAAGGAATTTCCATTCACTTCTAACAAAGAATGCTAATTAACACAACTAATTAGAAATGGAACTCTACACTAGAATTCTTCATTGTTCAGGTTAGAGTTTTATTTTGCTATTCCTGGCACTCAAATTCAAAGTGTGCAATGAGATAACAGAACAGAATAATCAAAATAACACAACAAAGTTCAAAAACATTCGACCATCTGTTTGCTACACTTCTGCAAAATACATAAAAGTAAACAAGAAATTCTTTATATATATTATGTTTAAAACATTTATTCACATTCCAAAATGATAATGTTAAAATTCCACACTGAGATACTAGTGCAAGCAGTGGTATACAAAAGTGCAAAAGAGGTTAGTGATTAACAAATCATTGGCTTTCCACTCCAGGTGTCTGTTAATGTCCTATTTCCAAATAAAAATACTTTCTAGTAGCCTTAAAACAAACTCAGCCACATGTACGTGGACCTGGTGTGTATTGGTTGAGCAGCTATTATAGCACAGTAACCAGGTGTGAAATTCCAAGAATTAAAAATGTTCATTCTAAAGTGGCTTTTAACATTCAAAACTAGTGTGTTACCCACCCTTATCCACCAAATGTTGAAAAAAAAAATAAAATTTTTATTTCAAACACATGCCTAAAAAAGTCTGTCCATTCAAATGTTCCTTTTCTAGAAATAATTTTTGACAAAACCACCTGAAAGACCTTTCTATTTTTCCCCTAAAACCCAATATGGTATGTGGTTCTTCTGAAGAAATGTAAGAATGCCTTGGTTCTGCTTTATTTTTGTGTCTTTGAAAGACTGGCCAAAACCCCAAATAATTTCAAGATACTGTGTGATAGTCAGGATATTTCGAAAGGTACTATTAAACAAGATGTCAGCACAATCACATTTTAGAACATAAAAGTACTAATTTAAGAAGACAAAAATAAGCAGAAGCTAAGGGCACATCTAGAACTCAAACACCATGAACACAGCACTGCATCCTAGTGTAAACCTTAATATTTTCCATCACATTTTTGGATGGTGGGAGGTGGCCTGGGAGAAGGGGTGAGAGCAAGGTGTGGAAGGCTGAATGATTAAACGGAAGGATGGATATATGGATACAGACATACATACATGCATGTGTGTGTACACATACACACACACACACACACACATTTCTAGCAAAATCCTGAATACTTTATAGGAATGACATGGCTGCCTTTTCAAAGAGCTTGTCTTAGTCTTAAAAGCAGCCATTTGCATCTCTAAAGGGTGGGCATTAATGGAAGTAACTGGGCCCATATGCACATGGCTTTGGGAATTCAGTATGTGGCTTAAAATTCCCTGACCTCTTGGATTTATAGTCAAGCCTCATTAATTCAAACTTAAAGTACCAAATCTTGTTTTACTCCAAGTTACACTTAATGCCCTATTAATCTTTTTTTAACTATTTTTTATCTGCCAACTCATACTTATCTTTAAGACTTTTTTCCCCACCATGAAGCTGATTTGAAATTTCACTGTAACTTTTTAGATATTCACAACTTCCAGAAGCAAAAAAGGGCAAAATAAATTCTTAGTAAAATTACTACGTTCTTAATAAAAATGGAAACAAAGTATGTGAGATGAATTTTTTTCTTTTCCTTCAAATATACTTTCCAAATGCCCTTTTGTCCACTTCCTTGACAATACAGCCAAGTCAATTAATCCTGTGACTAACAGGAATGAAATACCATACCAAATATTATGTCAAACAGCAAGATTCAGAAAATGTAAACATTTACCCTAAAATTCTTTTGTCAAAACACTATAAATATTGCTAGTTGTCTCACTAGTGGTTAATTCTGAAACACGTAAAAATGCAGAATTATGAATGAGTAGTGAAATCACTTTGCAGAAGTTAAGGAAGTTATTACAACAGTCACCTTATTCATCCATCTGCAAATTCACCTGTGGAACCTGCTGCGAAGTGAGCCAGTTCAAAACTACAAATACGAAGTTCAATTCATAATTATGATGGCATATTCTGTAAATGGCAGTGCCTTCACATGTGCAAATAACCCTTGATTTATATAGGTAATATCTGGAAGCACACTTTAAAAAAATCTTTGGCACACATAAGACAATACTGGTTTTCAAGTAAACTAATAAGAGATTAGATGGAAGGGAAAATTCTTCCACATGCCTTGGGAAATGTCTGTGTCTCTAAATTTCTAATATCCTATAATCTATTCCATCTAAAAAATTAAGCAGGTGAGTTCAGATATGAAACTGAGTCTGTCATTCTAGTTAGCCTAAATTCCAAAATAAATTTAATAGTAGTCAATGAAACATGAGACGCTATGCTAAGAATGTCAATCTGAAACATTTTATAAGTACAGTTTTTAGAACTGAGTTTTTATACATACTACTTTTCAAAATTAGCTTAGATTTTCTGAATGCTGCCTGATTAGCCTGCACCCAATTTGTATGGATGCAAGAGGTTACAACCACATTTTAAACTAGCACTGTACAGTGTGAAGCACAGAATTTGCATATATGCAGCACTAATATTTATCCCCAAATATCACAAGTATACTCACACATATTCTTCTGCTCTTTTCTGCTACCTTAATTTGCTTACGTGTATTGGAAATAATAGCACAAGTAGCTTTCGGGGGGCCCCTCTCAAAGCTGCCTCATGGATCAGCTAGCAAAAGGCTTTATAGATATGTCTCCTGGGAAGAGGAGGGAATTTCAGCTATCATTGCTTTGTCCAGCTTCATTTCCACAGGCTTAGGTCACAAGAATACCCCCTACCCTCACTGGCAAAAGGCTCACACTGCTTATGTACATTTTTTTAATAAAGTGAACCTGTCTGCTTCTTTTCTACCAAGTGTCAATTCCACAATAAGAGCAGTCCAAGTCTTGAACAGACTATTTTACACAAAGAAACAATTTGTTTTCCTATTTACAGTGTCAGCTATTAACTTCTTAAATTATGGTGACATCAAGAGAAATGGAGAAAGTTATGTCCTCAACGTACATGAGATGCCATCAGCAAATGGAAGTTAATCTTAATCACCTTGTTCAGATTCAGTGAGCACTTTAGAGGCAATCTCCTTTTATAATATCTAGTATAATGTCCTAAGTAAGTTAGAAATGTAGCCTGTTACTGATGCATTATCAGCTATATAGGAAACAGCCCTTTTAGTTTTTCTTGGAAAGGAACTAAATACGAAACTTGGCAGATATGAACGACTAAAATCCAATTTCAAGGTAAGAAATGATTCCACAAAGTTTAGATTCCCCAGTGTAAAAATGTAAAATATCTCACTAGCAGCACTGTTGTATGTTTATCTGGAATAACGGTCACATTTTCTACTTTAGTACTATAAGGCTTCTCTCAGGATTACACCATTAAAGGCTTAAGAAAACATTTAATTTCAATTATACCAGAGTTAAATTCTGATAAGTAAGATCTTTGTATAATAAGGAACAAAATCATATACTTTAAAATTCTCTTGAAGTATAGAGCATTATCTATTCACTCTTGTGTCTTACTGTACTAATGAAGGGAATATGAGAAAACAGAAAAATACCTTGATAAAATTACCAAGTCCTTATCAGATGTTATCTGTAATTTTCACTAAGGCTTGTAGAGGGGCTAGAGAACAACAAACATTACATGTGCAGATGAAAACCTGGGTGCTATAAACAAAAAAAACTGTCCAAAACAGGAGTAAGAAGATTAGAAAAGTGTTTGGTTTTTTCCATAGCAAGAAATAATCCTCCTTCAGTGCCATGAAGAATGTGACAAGAAGCAAAAAATCCACTGAGTAAAATGTCTTGATGATAAAACGTAAATAACAAGCTGCTTCTCTTAACTAAGGCAAACAAGTAGGCCACCAAGCTAAAATTGTATACAGGAGACGGCCTCTAATTTGACTTGGGGATCTCATCATATATAAAGATTGGCGACTTGTTTCTTACAATGAGGACATGTTCCTTAAAAAAGCACCAACACAGTTAAAAGTACTTCAGAATGAAACAACTGTGATACAACTAAGGGCCTACTAAAACTAAGAATTAAGCATGTGATAAGTCAAGAAAGTTATCTTCCTTCAGGAGTTCAGAGTTTCACTATTTGAAAATGGATTCTCTTGGCACTAGTGACTAAAGAACATACAGAGTTCACAGGGAAGAAAGAGGTTAGAGAAGCATTCTGCCACAAAAATCCTCCAAGATAAATTCAAAAGCCCATTGGAACTTAAACATTTATAATATCAGTATGCTAAAACAATCTCCTATTGTCCATTAAATATCACACTTATATTTTCAAAGAACATCCTCACTAAGACACATCAAAATGAAACATTTCCCCACCAAATATGCCAAAAATTCGATTTTGTTTTATTGCATGACGTTGCATAAGAATATTATTAAAAACTGTAAGGCATCATGCAATTAATAAGCTAATTATTAATTGTACCTTAAAGACAGGTGGTTATATAGTCTAAATTTATAAAACCAGTTCCAAAAAAGTACATAAAAAATTTAACATGATGAGCATTAAATACCGTTCACATATCTGTAGTTTTTAGCTATTAAAAAGTGCATTCAAACATACTGGACTGGAAAGTCACTCTGTCCAAAAATGGTGCTGGGTGCAAATGTCAAATTATAAATTGTAAAAGAACATAAATTATTTTATAGGATTAGAAAGCTAACAATGTGATATCCAAACTTGCCTGAAATCAGTTTTCAATCCTCACGCTCACAATTAATAGTTTACATAATATTAATGATCTAAAAAACTTATCTTTCATAACCAACAAAAGTCTATTGAATTCAAGTTATGTATGCTGAGTGATCAAATGACTAAGCAGACTTAGTATTCAGACAAAGACAGATGTGGATTTGGCATTAATCGATGTACTGCGCCAACCAACGAAAGCCTTCACCATAGCCTTGTCTCTTTAGCACACTGCACATGAAGACTTCTAAAGGTCTGGCATTTAACTCTTTCATTGAAACACTTCCCTAGAAGAGAAAAATAAACATTAGGTTGAAATAATCTTGACAAAATAGTGGCACTATACAACAAAGTGAATATTCTTAATGTATTTTTTAAAAAAACTGGAGGAAAAAAATCAGTGCTTTCTTACATCTTCATTTCTAAATGTAGATAACATTCCTTTCAAATATAAGTAGGTGCTACATTTCAGTCCCCTATGGCATAGTGAAACCAACCAACAGAACAAAGAGCCATACAAGAATTGAAAGTATGACTTTTTAAAAAACTGCACCAAAACCCACCTTCAGAGAGGTGAGAAACTCAAGGTGAAGACTAAGACTTTTTTTTTTGACATGGCCACCGCAGGAATTTGTTTTGCTTGTCTCTGCATTTTTGTTACAAGGGTTATATTTTTCTTTTTGAAGGGAGTGGTGGTGAAAGGAAGATAAAACAGTTTTGTAAAAACAAATTTAACTTAATTTAAAATAAAATAGAACAAAATGAAATAAAAAGCATAGCAAATAAAGTCAGTGGACTTGGAATTACTGGCATTCTAAGAACTACATTACATTACATGACATTACTGCATACCCGAAAGTCCTCCAACTTTCTCCACAATGCCAAAGAAACCTCTTTGTGCTGAAAATTCTTTCAACCCCTGGATTTCTCATATTTGAAATATTCTCCCTCTTATGAACTGGTTCCTCCCAGAACCTCCATTTTAAGGCTATCCAGGCCAGCCATGTCTTTACTCCTCTCCAGGCTGCTCTCTGGCTCCACAGCTTTTCTCTACAATGCTCCCTCCTGGGGTACCTTCATTCCCACATACCCCCTCCTCCCTTTTGAGCTTCCTTTTATTTGCTGTTTTCACCATAGAATATAAGTACTTCAGAACAAGGACTGTCTTTCTTTCTGTTTGCATTTGTATCCCCACTGTTTAGCACAGTGCCTGGCATGTAGTAAGCACTTAATAAACGCTTGCTTGTCTTGACTTAAGAATACTTTATAAAAACTCTCAGAAAGCTCACTGCTCTTAACAAAAACAGACTGCATTACAGATAGGTGGCAATCCATGATGGTTTCCTCAATTCTCTACCCTTCTTCCGCTAATTTCACTCCCCCGCCCCCAGCTTAGAAAAGCTCTCTCCCTCTTTGACTCTCAGGACACCCCTGTGCCCTCTGATATGAACCTAAATACTACAACATGTATAAGGGTTATTTACATGTCTTTATCTCCCTTACTAAACTAAGTTTCTTGAAAGCAGGGGCTACATAGTGTTTTTAATCTATCTATAGCACCTAGGGTAGATACAATAGGGCAAATGAATATTTTTAAAACTGAATTTCCTGGATGAAAGAAATTGAAATATATGGTGTTTAACATAATACATATATTATGTTACAGTAGCTCTTCACCCTAAGGAACTTTACACATAAAAGAAATTTATTAATAACTCAGTAGGAAAGGGGGCTTCCTCCATTAACTCTTCAAGTACTGAATTTTTCTTAATGGTATTGAGCCCAGTGACAGACACTGATAATACTGAAAACATCTCAGAACATACTAAAAATTAAGGTTATAAGACCACAGCCCAAATTATCAGATTTCATGGAGATTTTTTTCGGTTTAAGTTTCATTTATTCCAAATTTCACTTATAAAATGTAAAATGTAGAAAAATGATCTAAAGATGATCTTCTTTGGTGGTAGAATATAAACCAAAAATCTAGACCCCAGTAAAACATAAGGTTCTTGAGGACAGGAACTGCTAAAAAAATTTGCTTAATAAATAACTGTTGAATTGAATTACCATAGGTGACAGGTTTTCAGTGAGTTAAGAAACAACTAAATAAATTTATTTATTCAGTTGGACAATACTAATTAAGATAATATTCATACAGCAGAGAATTAGAAAAGTCTAAGTTGATACGAGAAAATAAAATTACCTTTCCTGTTGTTTGACCATACAGACCAAACACCTCTCGTAACCGCTCTTCACTAATGGCTTCAGGTCTGTCGATCTTATTTCCAAGAATGAGAATAGGCACATTAGCTATTGTTTCATCTGTCATAAGAGACTAGAAAGAAATAGGAAGTCCATGTTGTGATAGGGCTATCATAAAGTGTTTAATTTACTAGGAATCTGAAGTAGCCAAGCCCTTACATTAAAAGGCCATCTAGTCATCTTTATTTAGTCAACCCATGACCATATCTCAGTTAACTGAAAGATTCTGTGAAAAGAAAATGCGTTTTTGTTGAATCCTCTCCCTCTGGCTTCTCTCAACTTTACTCGGCCTCCCCAAGACTACTATATTTAGTCATAATGTTGGAAATGGAAAGAAACTTAAGAGTCCAGCTAGTTTAATCCCTTCATTTTACAGGTGGGGAAAATGGAGTACAGAGAGTGGAAGAGATTTTCTTATGTTACATATATAAACTTATATACAGCTAAACTTATATATAGTATGCTAACAGTTTGCAAAGGTCTTTACATAAGTTAACCCATTTGATTCTCACAATAACTTTGCAAAATTATGCAAGGCAGAAATAATTACACATATTATAATCACATAGACGCATAAGCCACCTTGCACCTAAAACTATCCTTTCCATGTGCACAAATGCCTTGTAAACCTTATGTCTGTGTTCCATTACTAAGTAAGAATACCCCAGGCCTAGAACTACCTCAGTGTGCTGCATTAATTGAGGAAGTAAACCCTGAGACATCATGGCCATCTGTAATATAGAACTAGAAATGCCCTTGAATTTTTTTCTCTTAGGAATTCAAAATAATGGAAGCGATACCTCTTCACAATCTAAACATCTTCTCAAGAAATAACAAAATGATTTAGTTCTAAGACTGGCAAGGCACTCGATGAAATGGCCAGTTCTTCAAATCTTGAGGATGAGACCTAACAGTTCATCTTCAGAAATAAAAACACCACGGCCAACTACCAATACTGCTCTCTCCCTTAGGAGTAGAAGAAAAATAGCCTCTCAGTCACAAGAATTATTAAATGGCTTCATCCCAGAGTATGTATGCTAACACCTGACTTGTCAATCATTTCTGTATTTGCTTTGCCTAGTTATTTATGTTTGGACAAGGAACTTACATCAAGTTCTTCTTTTGATTCTAACAGTCGTTCATGGTCTGCACAATCCACGAGAAAAACAATGCCATTTATGGCAGGCAGATAGTTTTTCCACACTCTTCGAGCTAATGAAAACAATAAGGAATTAGACATGGCTGTCTAAATTTATAATATGATTGTAGGAAAACTCAAGCAAAAATACATCTAAGGGTAAATGTCACCTAGTTACTATTATATATGGTTACTACATATAAAAATTATAAATGATTTTATGGTCTGAGCAATAAAACACTGTACAAGGATGCAGGAACATTCATTTAAACCCTAGTTCTGTCTAAGACCATTGGTAAAGTCTTAACTTCTCATTTTCTTCACTTGTAAAGTGGAGCTAATTTTTTGCTAATAATTACTTTAAATATGTTTTAAAGATAAGAGACCACATGTGAAAACAATTTGAGCTCATGGAAGGAAAATCTCTCTAAAAAATTTAAAGAGCTTAAAATGTTCACTTACCAGTTTATCTCTTAATGGTGAAAAATTTTACACCAATAATGGGAAGAAACTAAGGAAAGATAGTTTTCTTCATTCAATTTAATAAACTTTTATTAAGCACCTACTAAAGGCACTAGATATAAAAAACAAGATAAAAACAAAGCAGCTTTGGTCCTAAAGAAGCTTATACTGTACTAAGAAATACAATATGTAGACAGATAAGTTAACACAAGGTAATTTGAGGAGGGAGAGAACATTCAGATTGAGGTGGAAATAGGAATGAAAGCTTCATGGAAGAGGTGGCATCCGAGCTGAGGTTTGAAGGAAAAAAGAGATTCTGACAGACAGAGAGAAATATGGATGCCAAGTGCCAGGTGCAGCCTATATGAATATACAGAAGGAGGCAAAACATCAACTTCACGGAAGTAGCGCAGTTAGGCTGAAAGGTAGGACACAAGTGAAGTAAGAGCCAATGAAGTCAAAAAGATAGACTGGAACTCAGGAGTCTGAAGGGTCCTAGTTAGCACTGATGCCAAGCAGTGTTCTCTCTTTTCTCTCCCCATTCCTCCCTTAACTAATCTTTTTGCCTCCAACCTCTTTCCTAGCCAATCCATCCCCCACAGAACAACCAAATTGAAATTCCTAAAATGAAAGTCTGACCACGTCATTCAGGGGCTTGAGCTTCAGTGGTTCCCTAATGGCTCTAATATAAACACAAATACAAATTCTTCACTTTGGCATTTAAAGAGCTTCATAATCTAGCTCTAATCTATCTTTTCAAATTGATTTTATACTCCTCTTTGTGCACTCCATGTTGCTATCAAAGTAGACTGCTGGCTGGTTCCCTTACATTCCACCTACGCATTTCTGCCTTTGAACTGGCTGCTCCTAAAACATGGAATGCTCTTTCTCCTAATCTTTCCCTCAGAGATCATTACCTTTTTTCACAGGACAGCTCAAGTGCCACCTCCTACAGGAGGCCTATCTTGATCTCCCAGTCCCCCCATTCCCAATTACTTTGCATTTACTCCGTATGTATTTAACTGTGCAGATACTGTTCCCTATCTCTATGGAAAATGTAAGCTCCTTGAGAGCAGGGACTTGTTTTTGCCTTTCTTTGAATCCCCAATACTGAAGAATACCTGGCACTTACTTAAATGCTTACTGAATAAACTGTGGGGTAAGAAGCCAGGTTTCAAGAGGTTTTGGAATAGGTGGTGATAAAGGAGAAGCAATAAGTGCAGGGGATTCTTTTAGGAGTCTGGCAATTAAAGTGAGGAGATACATAACAATAAGTTGAGGGGATAATAGGGTAAATAGATTCTTTTTTACTGATATTGTCAAGTGAAGGTTTGGATTTTTTTAAGGCTGGAGAAGAGCTAGACATGTTTACAGGTAGAAGGGAAGGAGCCTATAGATAAGAAGATGAGAGAGAGATGAGTGATATGATAAGCTACCTCCCAGAAGAGACAAGAGGTGATAGAATCAAGAGCACAAGGGAGTTTAGTCTTGTCAAGGAAATGGGCTTACCTCTTCCTCAGACACTGGAATAAACAAAAAGTTAATGGGAGGGTTTTGAAGTACAGAACAGGGAAGATAAGGAAGCTCAGGACAGATGGTCTTGATTTTCTTCGGCAAGTAAGGGGTGATGTCACCTGAGAGAGGAAGTTAACAGATCTTAGGAAGTATGAAGAAAGAAGAGAAAGTCTAGAACAGTACTTAGTAGAGTATGACAGAGAAACAATCAAGGAAGAATAAAATTAATGTGCAGTTCAGCAGCACAGGAACAGGAATGGAAAAGAGAGGTAGAGGTGAGCCAAACGGAAGGGAACAAGCTTGTATTAAGAGCCCATTATATGCGGGCACTGTGCTAAGCACATTACAAATATCTCATTTGATCCTTACCACAACCCCCATGAGGTAGGTACTATTATTATCCCTATTTTGCACTTGAGGAAACTGAGGCAGATAAGGGTTACATGACATGCCCAGCATCACACAGCTAATAAGTGTCTGAGGCCAAATTTGAAACCAGGTCTTCCTGAATCCACTGCACCAGCAAAGAAGGCAAAAGATTCATGGATGAAAGATAGTTGAATATTTTATTTACAAGTTTAATCTGGGAGAAAAGGTGGAGGTGGAAGTCTCAGTAAAGACAAAGAACAAGTTTAGGAGAAGTAAGACAAAAGAAGATATGGAAGAACAGGAAATTATTATGAGAAGGGATTCTCATAATTTTAAGATCATAAAGACAGAACAGGATAGCGATAGTGAGATTGAGATATAACAATCCCAACAAGTGGCTAAGGTAGAACGAGAAGTTGAGGAGGTTGACAAACTAGAAAACCAGAGTCTTTGAGGGCCATCAACATGTATAATAAAAAAAAAACACGTATAATGAAGACTCCACGTGTAAGTGAAGTAGGAAGAAAGACTGGGTACTGAACATCTTAAGAAACACAAAGTAACCAAAGATCTGCAGATTTCAGCATTATATAAGGAACTGAACCAAATGATAAAAATAAATGGAGCAAACCTCAAATGACCTAATAGTTGTTGAGAGATGACAAGAAAAAGAATATCAACGGCAACAAGCCTGCTGACTCTTCCTCCTGGTCCAGTGTTTGGAGAGAGAATGTGACATGGAGGAATGTAGATGACAAAATAAGCAACAAGAATTGCAGGGAGATGGTGGCCAGTGATGAAGGGTCTCCTGGAGAGAGCTAAGCTTTCATAAATTCAAGAAGATAATAACAATGGGAATCATGAGCATTTTTCCTGTCCTTTAAGGTTTGCAAAGCACTTTTACATTTATTATCTCACCTAATCCTCACAAATCTTAAAGGTAAATCAATGTTAAGAGTATTATTACCCCTATTTTACAGATGAGAAAACTGAGCCTAAGAGACAATGCCCAGGGTCACACAGCAACTATCTTGAAGCGAGACTCAGACCCAACTTTTCTCATATCTAAGTATAGCACTAAAATGGTAAGATTATATCAGGATTAAAGTAGGAGTTCCAAGGAGCACAATAAAAGGAGAGGACTAGGACAAAAAGGAGTTTGGAGCAGTAGTACTGAACAGAGTGTGGATGAGGATGCAGGGAGAGATGGGAGGGGAAGAGGATTTTCACCTCAGTAGACTATGAATCCCTATAATTAATTAATTAATTAATTAAAATAAGAGTAGCAAAAACTTACAAGTCAAAATAAAAATCTAAACATCATTATGTGTGATGTATCACTTTCTAAGTTTATTTTTAAGAGATCTCAATATCTTTCTAAAAAGAGAGAAACAAGAATGTTTTTTCCAAATTATTTTCAGCCTTCAAGTTAGCAAAATGGACAAAAATTACATTCTTTCTGATGTTAGTCTGATGCCACTTCTTAAACATCTTATTAAAGCCTCAGAGAAACTCCTGCCATCCCTCCCAATCACAATAACATTCATTTCTGACGTATCTTATGCCACTTCTTAAACATTTTATTAAGGCCTCAAAAAAACTCCTGCCATCCCTTCTAATCAAAATACTACAGAAACAGATTTCATATAGTTTATTTTACAAAATTAATTTTTGCATAACATACTTAAAATGGAAGTATTTTACCAGTTACTACCACTTACATTAAAAAAAAAACTACATACTGAGTTTAAACTATGTACACATCACTCAAAACTGCAACATATCCCATTTACGCTGCTTCCAATCAAGTAGCAACTCAGCCACTAACTTAAAAACTGAAGAAGGGGGATGTTTGTGGATGAACTTTTTGCTTTTAAAACATGATCTGGCAGAGGAGGGAGAGATAATAAATTCTGAATTATAACACCAGATTCCTCCACTTGCTTGAACGAAATGAGGACTCATCTTGCACTGGAAGTGAGTGGTCTCTTTTTGTTCATTAAAAATAAGACAAAGTTGGTAAGACAATAATGATAGCTTACCTTGAGCATGTCCACCCAGATCAAAAGTGGTAAAAGTCATGCCAGCAATGGTCAATTCTTCTGATGCTAAACAACAAATATTTTATAAATATTATATTGTACCATAGATTTATGACCTGCTCCACTACTTAATGGTTAAAGAAATGAATCTTAAATATTTAAGAACCAAACAAAATAATAAAAACCTACTTTATTTCTAGTTAACCATACTTTTATTCTTTCACCTTGTCAAGAACAGGACTCCACGTTGGAACAGAGGATAGAAAAGTTGTTCATTTGTGAATTTAGCATATTTATCTCTAATTTTTAACTCCTCTCTTCCTCCTGCTACAAATCACCCTAATCTTACAATTTCTTGCTCAGTTTATCTTAAATGATACCAATAAAATAATCTATTTCTCTAATGATGACTATCTTATATAGGGAAGACAAATATTGCTTCATATCAAAGTTCACCATTAACAATGCAATTACTCTCCAAATCTCAATTGATGACCTTTATTAACAGTATTTTACTGATCTTTTTAAAAAATTCCTCGCCAACATTATTCCGGTAAAATAAATGTGCTCTGTAATCTCTATGTTAAGAGATATAAAGGAAAAAATAATATGGACTTATTAGTAACTATCTGCTTTCTAGCAAAAAGATAAAACTAGGTGTCCACTATATTTTTGTCTCTGTCTTAGGATCGTATATAGTGTTGTCACCTACAACAACCTCTCATAAGCCCCTATCACACTTGCAGAAGTTGACAACGAGGTATATAGTATTTTCCCCTGGATTTGTAGAAAAAGAGGATATTGTACAACTCAACACCTTGATGCCTATCAGCTACTTTCCTGTTATCTCAACTCCTTCCATACTACAGTAAAAACTGGGCTATAAAGTAGCAGAGCAGCATATATGAAAATTTATGTAGAAAGCAGAAGCGAGAGAAAAAGGAGTGAACTCCCTTTTGGTTCCTCTGAAGAAAGACAATTTCAGAAAATCTTACTTAGCTGGCAAAAATGATGGAATAAATAGCCACAGTATGATGGGATTAGGAAGAACTCAGCTTACTTCAGTATTTTGGTTCTTTCCCAAATCTTTTCTACAATATTCTTGGCTGTATGAATATATTTACTACACCTAAGTAATTACACTGATGTAGTTATTGGTATTGTTCCACTTTTACCCAGTTTCATACTGAAGGGATTAAAGCAATATACTTAGGGGTTACACAATGATTGTGTGGCATAATTTATCTTTGAACTACGTACCATTCTTGTCCAGGCACAGAGTATCTGTTTATTAGATTATATTTTGAGTGATGTCATCACTGAACGTTACTTTGTATTATGAAATAATCCTTATAACCTTATACACATGACAGGGTACGGTGACTGATCTCCAAATTAGAAGAAAGGGCTTTGACTTCTTATCTGGAGATCTGGGCATGAGTCAAAGACAGCTCTGCTACTTACCAACTATATGACCTCAGGCAAGTCACTCCACCTATCTGAACATCGATTTTTTCATATATAAAATGGAAAAAATAATATTGCCCCGCTAATCTGGGCAAAAGTTTTGTTAGAAAATATAAAATTATTTTCTAAGCTATAAAACACTACGTAAATAAAAGAATTCAGCCATTCAAAATACACAGCATTGTAAATTTACTTATTTTAAAAATGTATTTAAAAATCCATAACAATAATAATTGACATTTACACATTTAAGGTAATTTAAGGTTTGAAAGAAAAGTATTTTATACTTTTATACATAATTATACAATATTATTATAATTATACATTATTTCATGTGATCCTCAACAGCCACTAAGTAAGAACCACATATATATATACTGTCTCCATTTTACCGATGAGAAAACTGAGGATGCAGGAGACTGTGACTTACCCACGGTTACATAGCTAGTGAGTCTATCAGGCAGGATCCGAAACCAGGTCTTCCTAACTCCAAGTCCAGCACTCTATCCACTATGTCATAAGGCCTCATCATCACACTGTCTAAAAACTCTTCTGAACCAAACATCACTATGATTGTGACAGTGAAGAAACTGGCACTGGTTAGCAATTCATAAAGACAATTCATAATGACTTCACAGCTAAGGATGTTACTCCAACCATCCAGCTACTGTAGGCTATGGTTTAGTTCATTAGTTCAGCTATACTATTTGGACTCTGGATAATAACTACCATGTGACCTAGAAGCCCTAAGAACACATGAGACAGAAACCTTTAATTAACTATTTTAGTTGCAGAGTGTTATTAACTGACAGAATGGATTTCTATTCCATCAAAATCATACCAAACTTCCTATGAACAGGCTCAACATATTTATCATATGCTAAGTTAGAACACTGTAATAAGAACCGAACCACATCATTTCTAAAATGCCAGGTAGTAAAGGACCTTCACTTACTGGGATGTAATGTAGGTACATGTTGTCCAAGCCTGTCATCTTTTAACATATGTAGTAGTGTTGTTTTTCCAGCATTGTCCAATCCAAGAAATACCAATTTGCCAGATTTCTTGTACAGTCCTGCAGAGAAATCACAATTGGCAAAACTGATAGTAAGTCCACATATGTATCTACAAGAGTCAGTTTTTCTTCTTTAATTCATAGCTATCAACAGTTTTTAGCTAGCTAAAATAATTAACTTCTTTTTCTGTTCAATAAACTTCTACACGCTCAAAAAAACAGAACCAGAAAAGATATTTCCACACCTCCTTATGTATTTGTGATTTCCAAAGTAATTTTTCATTACTAAATCTATTCTCAGTTTTAAAATAACCACATTTTAAAACCTAGACACACACATCTATTCCCTGTCTTGTATGTAATAAAGCAAAGCAAAAAGAGAAAAAAAATGAGGCTTTATCATACTAATATATGATTAGCAGAATAAAAGTTGGGCTGAGATTTTTAAGAAAAAGAGTCTGGAAGCACAGTGTCAAATTCTCCTGAGAGTATGATCAAATTATGAGACTACATATAATTATGAAATCAAAAAATCAAGCTATTAATTTGAGAAATTTCAGCTAAATGTGAAAAGAGTAGAAAATATAATTCAACAATTTATGGTTGATCACCACATAATTCCTATAATCAAGTATGTGAACATTCTAGAGTACTGAGCAATTACAGTCTTGAATAACCTATTTGCTAATCATGAATAAGTTCATGCAAAATTTTATAATTTCCAGGTCTTGTCCCATAGAATATTTTTAGGAAATGTGACTGTGTCCAAGATTTCCCCCAGTCACCCGCAAACCAATAAATTTTTGATAATGGCATACTAGACTTGGGAGTCAAGAAAACCTGAATTCGAATCCTGCCTCAAACACTCACTAGTTATAACAAGCAAGTCACTTTAATGTGAGCCTGTTTCTTCATCTGTAAAATTGGAATAATAGCACCTACCTCACAGTGCTGTTTAGTGAATCAAAATCAAATGAGATACCACCATATGTAAAGTATTTTGCAACACTAAAAAGAAGTATCAATGTTAGCTATTATTATTACTATTAAAGGCTTCAAGTTAAAATTCCCAGCTGTCTGCCTCATAAAAACGTGGACCTGTGTTCAGTTCTAGAAGCCTCAGTTTATGAAGGATATTGATAAGCTGGAGAGAATACAGAGGAGGGATATCTGCATATGGTATAAGGACTGCCTTCTGATGTAGTCTGGTTGAAGGAACTGGGTATGCGGAGCCTGGTGAAGAGAAGGGAAGACTCAGGAAGGACATGAGAGTTATTTTCAAATATCTGAAGGACTGTCATGAAGAAGAGGTATTAGACTTATTCTGTTTGCTCCCAGAGGGTAGAACCAAGGCTTATATTCTCCAGGCTTAGGGGATCAAGATTTTATATACTTTCTTCTTTATCTTATTTTATATTACAGAATACAAGATATTTTACATCAGTACAAAACCAAATGGCAAAAAAAACATAACTCAAAAATAAACTATAGCTAAGTTGGAGAGAGTGAAAATGGTATATAGTTCAACCAGAAGTCAGGAAACCTGGATCTGGTCCCTGACCTGCTACTAACTCATTCATCACATGATCTCTGGTAAGTCTAAGCCCCTTTCTTTCCACTCCAGCTCTCAAATTTGTCCTCAATGGGCTGGCTGGATTACACAGCTCAGCACTAATGATCTGCATTAATACAGTCAACAAAGTATAGGTCAGAATAGAATTGAGTTATGTTTCAGAAAACTTGGAAAAGCTATGTTTTGAAAAAGAGTCATGGGAATAGTGTGTGAAAGGCCAAGGAGGTGACTGGGAATGTCAAGTATATTGGCATCAAAAAGGCTTCCAGTTGGCAAGTAATAGGGTAAAGGGAATTCCTGATCAGGTGTGGCTGGCCCTTTCCACCTCAGATTCTGTATCAGATTTGAGTCCTACCTCTGCCACTTATTTGCCACATGACTACTGACAACTCACTTCACTTCTCATCATCCTGATAACGAGGTCACTGTTATACATGTGCTGCCTAGTCACAGGGCAACTACAAGTGTGAGGCTATAATGGAAAAACAGCTGAATTTGGAGTTAAAGGACTGCCTTTGAACTCTGAATCTGCTACTTACTATCTGTATGACCCTGGGAAGATAAGGGGTAGGAAGGGGGGGGATGCTTTCACTTCTCTAAACTTCAGTTTTCTCATGTATAAATTGAATGGACTGGACTAAACAACTTCTAAGTTCCCTTACAGTTCTACATCCATGATCCTATGATTTGAACTGAAAGAGGCAACTAAGTATAGTAAAAAAAGTACTGGATCTGGAGTCAGAAGAGCTGGGCTTAAATTCCAACTCTAATACATACTGCCTGTATGAACTTGGGGCAAATTCAGTTAACCTCTCTGAAATAAGGCTTCATTCTCTGTAAAATGACAATACTTTTAGCTCTAAATCCTGTCTTAATATTTCTTTTAACATTCTTTTAGTAAAATGCTTTATATAAAGATCACACACATTAATGCCATTAGCATTACTATCCCCACTTAAAATGGTAAATACAGATGATGAAATTCTAAGAGTTTCTAGAATTTTTAAAATACAATTTTTTAATGGCTGAAAGATTCTTATATGTAACTGATGGCCCAATTATTTCAAGTAACATTTTACTTCCAGATCTAAAATTATATAACCTACAATGGGAACCAGAAAACCTATATTCTAAATCTCAGCTCTGGCACTAGGTACATGGCCTGAAACAGGACATTTTCTTTCCCTGGCCTCAGTTTCCTCCTCTGTCAAATGAAGCAGTTGAACTATGAGATCCCTTCCAGTTTTAACACCCAAGGATTCTATGCTCTACTAAAACAAAATTTCAGTAGGATAAAAAAAATTAAGATAGTTTTTTGTAGTTACCTTTGTAGGATTTGATATCTGACCTATAGTGTAACACTATGCCACATATAATGCACATTTATTTTAAAATAAAACAAAAGGATATGTCTCAGAATATAGAAGTTCGACACAGTAATAAATATGCAATAACTAAAAGTTTTTCCTCACACATTGTTACCACTTTAATCCAAGTCTCAGCACTTACAACCCAATTTTAATCATTTAACCAAGGCATTGTTTGTGAAAGAAGAAAATATTTACAAGGAAGATTAAAATTATTTTGAGAATTGTTATAGTCTATTAAATACCATTCATTCTGCCAGTTAATTATGAGACAGATCACAAAAACCAAATTTAGGATATAATTTGAACCTCTGAAGGAGACAGGAACACTCTCAGATACAGATTGTTACAATATTAAAATTAAGAATAATCTCCACTAAATTTTGTTTTTTTAAATGAATCAAAAGAATTTAAATTTCATAGAAAAGTCAAAGCTTAAGCAAAAAATAAAACAAAAGTTTAAGGCATAGAATGAAGCCAGTTAAAAGGAAGTGTCACTGATCAGCACAACTAAGTAAGCAAGCCTTATTCAACAACTCATATTTTTATAACTAAGGTACACTGTGAAAGTAGGCACTAATATGTTAGTTAAGTTTCATCAACAGAGATCAGAAAAGGTAAATAATAGCAGGCAAGAAAGAAATCTACATTACCTAAAAACTGTAGTACACTGCTGAAACCACTGTAAATCCAGTCAAATATGAAGGACATATCCAAATTTTAAAGGGTCTGAAAAACAAATTTTGAGTTTTGAAGTATGTAATATTAATATATTTATTTTTAAACACCAACATCACCACTATTTCGTGTAAAAAAGATTGAGGATAATCCTAAAATCTATACCAGTGTAATCAGTGATCGAATGAATTATTTACAAGTCAGTGCTGCAAATATACCCTATACAGTAGAATGTTCAAGGGAGGGTCAGACTACCTCAAAACAGTCTGCAGAGAAATTCAGCATATGATTTGACTGGGTGAATAAGAGTAACAACAAACTGAAATTACCATAAAATTAACTATAAAAATTTTTCCAATAATTATGTATGTATATAGGAATATCTAAACAATGATAATCACATATATGAGACTGATTATGCAAGTATGTGATCTATGGATATGATTAGAAGTTACTATGCTTACACACACACACACACACACACACACACACACACACACACACAGTCCTCCCCCCATTCCTCACTGTTTCATGGAAGGAGTTTCAAAATTAGTCAGCAGAATTCCAGCTCTGGAAGGTTCTATCAAGCTGGAAATGCTTTGAGTGGATGGATTATATGTGGGTCTGCTGAGGACCAACCTAGATAAGTCTTGAGAGGCTCATCACCAGTTGATTTTTTTTTCAGCCACAGCAACTCCCCAAAGACCATCTACTAAATTATGGAAGGGTTGTAGTCTATATGGATAAAGGCATAATCACAACCATGAAATGACAGATCGTTGAAATACTGAGTGGGTGGGTGGGTATGTGTGTGAAAATGTAAATAAAAGTGTTTCTAACCTACTTCAAAAGTCTATCATTCTATTTTTTAAAAAAGGTTAATCATTCTCCAACAAATGTTCTAGGTGTAAAAAATAGTATAATTATTTTCCTTTTTCTTAAAACCTTTATTTTTACTCAATTAACATGCATTTATTAAAGCACTTACTATGGACCAGACACTGTACTAAGCACTAGGGCTACAAAGACATAGCAACTGGCCTCAAAAAACTTACAATCTAACCACAGGAGACAACCTATAAATATATAATATATAGAAACAGATACAAAATAGATACAAGACATGAGCTGGGAATGAAACTAAGACTCTAACGGGTTGAGGTGAGGAAAGAGAAATTTCAGGCAAAGTAGATTAGACAATAGAAAGATACAGAGATAATTAATCAACAAGTATCTATTAGATACCTACTATGTGCCAGGAATATGTTGTTCACATTAAGTTTGAGCCCTATCAAACTTCTAGAATAGTACTGAAAGATTCCCTTTCTGATTACCTTAAGAAGACAGGCTTTTATTAGCCCTAAGTGCAGCTGGTCAATTGAATTCTAAATTGATTTTCTATACTGCTTAAAGTCCAGAAAAGAATAAGGTTCTTGCTCTTGGATTCCAAATGTACAAAGGTCTCTATTTTATGATGAATTTAGTTGAAAAATAAGAGATAAGAGCTACAGAAAAGGTCATAGTCCAACCTGAGTCATACTCATTGACCCTTCATCTCATCACTAAACAACAATAAATACCCAACAATAAAAGTTTTATCCAGTCTTTCACTTACAGCAAAATAGAAAAGCTTTGAGAACCTTGTACTAAAAGATAGTTGTTGAACTGAAATGAACTCAGATGTCATGGTATAAAAACCTGGAACGTAAATATTTTTGGATAGGATTTCGTTTATAGATTAGCAAGATCAGAAATAACATAGTTCAAATTACAAATTATGAACAATAACTGATCAGTTTTAGTTCCCACAAGGAAGGAGGAAGAAAATGAGTAATAGAAATTTTAAGAAAATGATCTCACATTAGCTCAGAGAAAGGTCAACATGAGTCTCTGATGCTTTGTTTTTGAAAGTAATTTTAAGCACATGGAATCTAACATGATTATTTACATTTACATTGTCATTTAGAGAGCCAAAGAAGGATGTGGCATTAGTTAAGATATCTAGTTGGAAAATAATACAAAGTTACCTAGTTTGATACTCAAACAGATGGTGATCTCACCAATGTGGGTACCAATGCAAATCACAACTGCTCCAAACATCCTCAACTGGGCCTGCACTTTGGCAAGGCAATCTTTTACACCTCCCTAACTTATTCACCTTCATGCCCATGCTAAATAGACACTGCACTTACTAATGTTTCAAATTCTAAGAGAGCAAATATTCTCTTGGAACTCAAGAGCTAGACCTTAGCAATCCATTTCATTTTACTCCCCTATTCTACCAACGAGAAACTTGAGTTCCAGGAAAGCTAAAGTGAATCCAAGGTGGACACAGGTGGTAAATAGTAGAGACTAAATTAAACTCAGGTATTTGGACTCAAAATCTAATGTCCTTCCACTATACTCTGCTGCCCTCGAGATTTATAATGCTTCTTAAACTGTGGGTCATGACCCTAGTCCCACATCCCTCTACAAAAGAAACAAACATCCTTTTCAAAACCTTCATTCTTTTCCACTTCTTAACAGTGGTTGGACTTTTTAGGATAAAATTTGGTACTCTGGAATACATAATTACTCAAAATTAAATTCTGGGCTAAAATTGTACTTGTCTTCTTAAAGTAAGTGTATTCAATTCTTAAAGTGATACTCCTTTCTCACTAAGTTTTACCTACGGGCATGAAGCTATAGGGTCTAAGTTGTAAAGCAGAAAATTTGAGGCCAGTCATAAAAAAATCACATTCTAATGATTAGAAGTGTCCAAAAGTGGCTGCCAGGGGAAGTAGCAGGCTTCCTTTCAATGGAGGTTTGAAGAAAGAGGTCCTGTTCAAGTATACATTAAACAACATGACCTCTGAGGTCCCTTCCACTTGAGATTCTATGATACCAAAACTTTAAAAAACATTTTAAAAGCAAAAATCCTACAAAACTACCCTTGAGTGGAAATGGCGTGAGGTTTAGGGCAACAGGGAAGTGACCCCACACAAGTGAAACATATCAAAAGGCTAGGAAAAAAACACGTAAAAGCTCTCTGCTGATGTCCTTTATCTCCTACATAGGGTCAATAAGTAGTTACCCTAAAGCATACAGGTACTGAAACCTCTGAAGATTCTCTCTACCATATATCCATGAGGACAATTCAATAAGAGGCAAGAGACTGGGGTGGCTAGGTGGCACAGCAGATAACAGCACTGGCCCTGGAGTCAGAAGGACCTGAGTTCAAATCCAGCCTCAGACACTAGACACCTCCTAGCTGTGTGACCCTGGGCAAGTCACTTAACCCTGTCTGCCTCACCCCCCCCCAAAAAAAAGAGGCAAGAGACTTCCGGAAACCAAGATGATGTAACAAGCAGTACGTCGCTGTAACTCTCCCACATTCACCTCCAAACAACCATAAAAGAGCACCCCAACAAATCCTGAAACAACAGAACCAGTAAAAAGACAGGGTAAAACAATCTTTTAGCCTGAGAAACTTGGAAGATCGGCAAGAAAGGTCTGTCTCACTTAGGTAAAAGGAGAGCTCGGTCCAGGACAGGAAGCATCACAGCAAGCCAGCAGTTAAGCTCCACCTCAGCAAACCAGTGGGAGATCCTGAGTCCCAGTGCAGTAGAGCAGGCAAAAAACAATACCAGGACCCCCTCAGGTCTCAGCATAGCCAGAAGAATAGGCAGATTCCAGCTCTGAGAAACAGCATGTGCTTCAGCATAGACCCAGGCAAACAAGCAGCCTCCAGTGTACATCAGTATAGCCCTGGGGAAACACAAAAACACTCCACCATGGGGCAGCTAGGTGGCACAGTGAATAGAGCACAGGTCGTGGATTCAGGAGGACCTGAGTTCAAATCTGGCCTCAGACACATAACACTTCCTAGCTGTGTGACCTTGGGCAAGTCATTTAACTCCATTTCCTAACAAAAGAAAAAAGAAAAAAAAACACTCCACCAGCCTCAGCATATGCCAAATACGAGCACTAGGACCCTGGCTCAGCATCAGGTAAGCTGCCAGACCCCTACAGCCTCCAGTAGTACCAGCCATCACCCCAACCCCCCTTAGCATAGCACCAGGCAGGAGGGTCCCCCATGGGCCTCAGGGCAACATCAGTGCAGCAGCAGCAGGTAAACAGCCAGGGCCTGCAGTCCCTGACACAAGAAGGCTGAGATAGTATCCCTTGCACCCCAGGAGCACAGCTCAAATTTAAAAGAAAGGAAAAAGGCCAAAAATCATGAGCAAAAACAAAAACAACAAAAAATAATCTGACCATAAAAAGATATTATGGTGACATGGAAGATCAAGACACAAACTCAGAAGAAGACAACAATGTCAAAACCCCTATGGGCAAAACCTCAAAGAGAAATGGAAAGTGTTCTCAAACCCAGAAAGAATTCATGGAAGAGTTAAAAAAAGAAATTAAAAATCACATAAGAGATTTAGAAGAAAAATTGGGAAAAGAAATGAGAGTGATGCAAGAGAATTATGAAAAAATACTGAAGAGCTTAGAAAAAGAAAAAAACTGCTTAAAAACTAGAACTTGCCAAATGGAAAAGGAGATACAAAAATCCACTGAAGAAAACAATGCCCTAAAAAGTACAATTGGCCAAATGGAAAAAGAAGTACAAAAGCTAACTGAGGAAAAAGCTCCTTAAAAGTGAGAATTGGTCTCAGCAAATACAAGGATATAAGACAATTCCAAAAGACTCATGATGTAAAATGCTATTCACATCCACAGAAAGAACTACGGAATCTGAATGCAGATCGAAGCATACTATTTTTTTTTGTTTGTTTCTTCTTTCTCATGGTTTTTCCTTTTGGTTCTAATTCTTCTTCACAACATGAGTGTAGTACAAATGCATTTGATATGATTGTACATGTATAGACAACATCAGATTGCATGCCATCTTGAGGAGGGGAAAGTGGAAGGAGGGGGAGAAAATTCAGAACTCAAAATCTTATAGAAGTGAATGTTGAAAACTAAACACAAACAAAATTTTAAAAAATAAAAATAAAATAAGGTGACAAAAAAGTTAAAATTGGGAAATGGAAGCTAATGTTTATATG